ATTACGTGAAACGAGTGCATTGCGTTTGATCTTTGCAGCATGCGGACAAGCCATCCGTGTATCTGTCACCACTGTCTGATAGTTGTGTTGATAGTGGATGCTGTAGAATTGGACGCGCTGGGGAGTGAAGAGACCACTCAAGACAAAATCTTAAGTGTGCGATCCCGTAACGTCAGACGTTTCTTCGATACAAGAAAATTCTCTTTACCCTTTTCCGCTCGACATCCACCCTTCCTTCATTATGAAGCTTTCATCTCACAATGGGGTTGTTGCCGTAGCAACCAGCGACACGGTAGAATCTATACAACCCTGCATTTCCAAAATGGCCATCATGCTGGAAGTTTGTGACAACTTTCGCGTTGAAAGGCCACCAAAGTTTTTTACGACTTCTGTCGACCGTTCCACTGATACTCGGTTATCCTGAAGTTACGGTAGAAAGGGAAGGATATGATGTTATGTTTCACTGCCAGTCTTGTTCGTAAATTCGGATTTTTATTATTCCACAGGTTGCCACGAACCCGTGTGACTTTTTACAATGGAAATTAGGGAGAAATAGACAAAAACTGTGTTAGTCATTGTGAAAACACTTTCACACCATTCGCCTGGCATAATTGACTACGGGTGGGACTTCTAGTCCCGAGGATGCAAATTGGACAAGCTAGGCCTCAGCCCCAAAGCTTAATCAAATTGACTGAGTATTAATCTTGGCTACTTTAACTCAAGACTGTATCAATGAGGAGTGATGTCTTAACAGATCTTTCAAAGTGGATGCCAGTGGTTAACTTCAAACTCCGGCCAATTTACCCCCAGGAAAATATTCCATATTATGCTGGATTGGAGTCAGTCTGAATTTTATGGCGAAGAGAACAGTCCCGGCCAAGACTATACAGTATTTTATAAAAAAATTATCTGCCACCTTGTTCTTGCCAGGGCGTGGTACAAAATGTGAATTCTGTGTTGAGCATGCATTTTATTTACGATGCTTGTGATAATTTTAAAACCAGAATTATATAAAACTGAAAGTTGAATCATGAGTCCAGCTTGGCATCGCTTGTAGTTTGTGTGAAGAACTAGTTTGAATTCGAAAAGAAGAGTCAGAATAAAGTGTATGAGAACGCGTTGCCTTTAATGGCCTGTGCCGTATCTAGCGGAATGAATTAATGTCCTGCCACTGTGGTCATACTGGAAGAGATCAGTGTAAATCCAGCTGTTGGTTCTAGAGCATTTGTCTATCTGTCCGTGTATTTGGGGAGCCTTGAGGCAAACAGTCTGGAATATGTATGGCTACATATTTAGCTCTGTGTATATACTGTTCGCTTCTTCAGCCCTTGCATAGACTTCCTGTTCTGTAGACAGCCCTTATTTAGTGCAAATGTACCAGTCAGTAGATAAGAAATGCAGTCAGCGGCTGTAAGCACATCATGCTGCTGGAAGTTGAAAGTTTTTATGTTAATCGTATGTTGCGTGTGATTACACTCATTTTGCAGTAGGGACCGTTGACAGCAATGGTTCAGGCCCAGGGCGTCGCTGCTTCTCGGCGTAGTAGAAAAATGTGTCCATAATGCAGCCGTAATATTGTTCGGATAATCAAGGAATCGAGGAGGATGAGATGGGCAAGGCCTCTTGTGAGCTTGTGGAGAATGAGAAATGCATGCAGAATTTTGGATAGAAATCCTGTAGGGTAATTGCCGCTCGGAAGACTTGGTGTAGGTTGGAGGACAATATTAAAGTGGATCTTAAGGATATAGGATGAGCGAATGTGGACTGAATTCATCTGGCTCTGGATAATGACCAGTGCCGGGCTGTTGTGAACACGGTAATGAACGTTTGGGTTCCATAAATATGGGAAATGTAATTAGCTGAGCGACTCTCAGCTTCTCAAGAAAGGCGTTGCTCCATGTGGTTGGTTAATAGTGTATATTTGATAACTGCGACCATCTTGTAGGAAATAACGAAAATCGTTTGCTAGTTTTCGTTGCAAACAAAACTTCGTCTCTTTTCAGTTTGATACAGTGATTGAGGTAACGTCATTCTTGAATTGAGGAGGCACACAGCATTCTCCAGGATTTTTGTCTTGTGTATTTGTAATTTGCATACCAGACACTACTATAATACTGTCCTTAATACGGCCTAGTTCGCGTTTGTCAGTCAGTGGTAGCAGGAAGTTACATGTGGTCTCTCGCTGTCTTGGTACAGAAGTTCCGCTTGATAAGACATGAGTTGTGTTCGTTGTGTAAGCTTAAATAGAGCATAGGTTTCGGTACAGTTTTTCATAACGATAGTACTTCATTAAACAAAAATATGTTCAAATGTTTATGATCAGAATGACGCAAATCTGTTGTTGCAAAGGCAGACAATTTTCAGACAACACAAAATTAATATCAAATTTTGGCGTATTTAAATTATATTCATCATACCAAAATATGTTTCAAACAAAACGTGTGTACGATTTTCGTATTTTTAAAGCTGTATTTTATGACGTAAGAGTCTTATATAACGAGTCGTTTTTGGAAAATCGATAACGTTCTGGGCGAAGTTTCAGGTTCTCAGACCGACGCTGTAATGTGCTCACTCCTTCCATATCCAGGGCTTTCATCATCCTAAGACGCGTTTTACTAACGAACGCTTGGATGGATGGATGTGAATCACAACAGAAATTTAACCTGTTATTGAATGATTAATCAGTCAAAAACAATGTCGAATATATCTGTAATAACGCGGTTCGTTAAATAAACTTGAAGATCGCGAGTCGATAATAGAGGCGGAATGTGGTCCCCAAGTTGAGAATCAGATTTTTGGACTCCTTCATACGAGTAAAATGTACTGATTATGAAGTAGTCTCTGTCAGTTCGCGAAATGAGATGAAGGCAAACTAATCGAAGACTCACCGGACTTTACAACAGAACACACTTCCTCAGCGTGATAATTTCTCTCCTAGAATGTTCCTGGAGGTTGTCGGGAAGTGAATCATTCTAGTCGTCATATTTTCAGAATCACTCATGACTCTTGGTAGTGTGTAGAAATTCGTAATTGTGAGAAACCTGTTACGTGTGTCCAACAGATTAAATTTCTTGCACCGAGCTTAAGACAACTTGGTGTATTATCATTGGCCATATGGGAATACATGTTTCTTGAACCCCTGGATCGCATTTGCCTCCACATAAAGTTTTTAAAAGTGGAGATATATTTCATTTGTATTCAGCAGCAGCATGACTGTTATGAATTATTAATACCTAGAGCTTATTCGTCTGTTGCTGTTCGCACGCATCCCTCCGAGTGTTCATCACTCAAGGACTGACTGCCAGATGCTGACAGCATTAACATATATTGTTTCCTGACATCAAGTAACCTGTTTTTCATAATAAATGATAAATTTGTTCCAAAAGCTGTACGCGGGTTGTGTGTTGAGAACCATTGGTTTAGGCAGGGTGTGTATAATGCTACGCGATCTGTTAGGTGTTGGAAAATGTCGGTAGTTAACAGTTAATCATGACGTGATTCGGTTGTATGTGAAGGACATTAGATTCAGAGAGAGGTTTTGTGTTTTGGCAGTCTGTGCCCACCCATTCGGTTGGAACCAAGCTATTGATTTTGTTGTGGTTGCCGTCAGCAAACAATCTCTCGTTTCGAGATTCGCAACTGCGACGGATTCTCTTGTGCAGGTATCTCAGCGTTTCTTCAATTTTCTCCCTCCTTGTTTGACAAATTCTGGTCCTCTAGACCAGTGTTATTCAACCTTTTTTGTTCGCGTATATAATATATAATTTATCTTCAATTTTGTACCCCCTAAGTTGTTGGTGTATAATTCAAGTTGTACATAGTATATAATCTACATCTAAAATAAATTAAATAAATTACATTACTGATTATTCAGTGTTTATCATAAAATAATATATATTTTTAATTTCATGTACCCCCTAAGATGTCTTCACGTACCCCCGGGGGTACGCGTACCCCAGGTTGAATACCACTGCTCTAGACCATCTCTTGAATTAAACCTTGGTCGATATAAGGTGCTATGAATGTCCTCCCTTTTTTGCCATTCCGACTAAATGAAAACTGGCAGAACATGTAAATGAGAAATTCTTTTCATTTTGTATGTTGTTCTAAGAAATTATATTTGTATTTGATTTGTGTAGGTAGAGGTCTTGCGACGGGCGCAGGCCGTACAAAACTCATCTGCGGGCCGCGGGTTGAGAACCCCTGGTTTTGATTACAAAGTTAGTTGCGAAACATCTGTGGATGCTTGATTGTCGTGTTACGAATATTGTGTATGGCACTCTGGTATTGCGTACTAGCTTGTTTAAAGTTGTCAGGACCTAGTGGTCACAGGCCTGCAGGTCTACTCACATCAGCGCTCCAGTATTTAAGAAGAGGCCTACACCAACGACGCGCTTATTCAAATCCCTGAGGTGGAGAAGATTTCTACAGGCAGACATTTTAGTGGTACTTAGATAATTTCTGTTATGTCCATGAAATTTTGTATTGACGTTGTGTGATAGGTGATTGATGAGAAAACATTTCCAAATTTCTGCACGCCTTCAAATCAAGGAGACGCTAGCAGTTGGATTATTGGTGGCGTGGTGGTTATTGATATTGTATGCATGCTCATTACTGTGCCAACAAACTGTAACCAGTTTAGACTATAGAAACTTGTCGAAACCTGTCGAAAGTATCATTTAAATTGTGGGTATAGATTCCACTTCGTTTGTAGTAGATTATGTAGTTAATAGTACGAGCAGAAAGCGAGTAAATATTTTATACTTACTTGTTATTTCAAGTATACCAGTTATATCAAATCTAAAACTTCTTGACGATGGTGAAGAGTCAATTGAATAAAAATTTCCTTGGATATTATCCATCGTCTAGTAAATATAAAACGTAAAACGACGTTTCGGAGATGGGACTCTATCTCCGTCTTCAGGTTCCTACACAGTTGGGCCCACTAGATAGAGTTATACATATTTTTAATCATTAATTTAGATGGTTATGTGTTTCAGGCGTCCATGGATCTTCCTCCAGACAAAGCGAAACTTCTTAAGCAATACGATGATGAGAAGAAGTGGGATATTATCTGTGATCAGGTGAGTGCGTTTCAGATCTGAACAGGTGGCGGCGGCTTCTTTCGCCTTGTTACTACGTCAGGTAGCGTACTTGTACGGTTTAGTGAAATGAGAAGTTGTGGTAAGGACTTGCGACGTATGCTTTCCATCGAATCTTGATATTTATTATAATTACCAGTCCATTTCTATGCAGTAGCCACGTTTCTCTTGTTTTCTTCTATTTTAAAATTCTCAGCTGTGTTTTGTACAAAAATGCTTCGGTCTGCGTTATCTCGCTAGTAATGTCTTATCTCCCGAAACTAAACTTTAACTGCTTCCTAAGTAAATTACTTTTGTGTGTGTTATTTTGATTTGCCAAGCTTTTATGTGTGAACGGTTTACCAGAAGATAAAATTACACGAATGATGTATTTCTTTTTGTTAGTGCAATTCAGTATTACAAAATTCGGTATGTTTTCATCTACAGAGTAGCATAAATTCATGTAAGGCGGTCGCATCCAACCACTCGCGGCGCGTCTTCGGGTCTGCGATTGGAGTAGTCGCCCTTTACGTATGAAAAGTACTTGCGATTTTATTAATAAGCAGTCGCGGACGACCTCCAAGGCGTGGTACAAGAGCTTCGAGGTTGGGTGTAGGAACTGCAGAATTGACCTGCTTGTTACGAACCGCGTCCAAAGATCTCGGAATTGGACGGATTCTTTGAAATTATATTACAATTATTAATAAGTAGATACGAGTTAGTGAATATATTGTATTGTTGAATGGATTTGCGTGTGGTTTTAACAACTAGTCATTAAGCTACATTGTCTATTATCTTCTTTCTACTATTCTACTATAAAAATTTGTGATTAGTCGTTGTCGTCAAAAAATGACGTCATCAACAATGCCACCTTACATTTGTGTACTCGGCATTGTTGTGGAACACAACAATGCTGAGTAAACAAATAACGCTTCACAACAAAGAAATCAAAAACTATCAAGCCAGTCGCATTATCACTGCTCTAGAAGCAGCACATCGCCTCCGAACAGCGACATAAGACTATTTAAGAAATGAAGAAAAGTGTAAAAGACGTTGCCAACACCGACAAGGTAATCTGATACTAATAATAATATTCATCCAATAAGAAACCAAACTAACCCCCCGAAGGGGGTAAGTTTAGTGCCTTACTCAAGATTTTAAAACGCAACCAAACCCCCAAAGGGTGGGTTGGTCAAGTGTTTAACCCCCATTCGGGGGACTTAGTTTAGAGTCTTACTCAAGATTTTAAAACGCAATCAACCCCCCCCCCCCGGGGGGAAGGGTTGGTTGCGTATTAAAACAAATGACCAACCCCTCGAAGGGGGGTTGGTCAGTTGTTTTATGCACCATTCGGGGGGCTTAGTTTAGTTTCTTCCTCAAGAGTTTAAACACTTGACCAAACCCCCGAAGGAGGGTTGGTCAAGTATTTTAACCACCATTCGGGGGGTAGTTTAGTTTCTTACTCAAGGGTTAAAACACTTGAATGAGACACTAACTAACCCTTCCGAAGGGGGGGTTGGTTGCGTTTTAAAAACTTGACCCCCGAAGGGGAGTTAGTTTAGCGTGTTACGTAAGATTTCAAAACGCAACCAACCCCCTAGAAGGGGGGTTGGTCAATTGTTTAAACCATCAATTTGGGGGGTTTAGTTTTTGTTCTTACACAAGATTGGTTGCGTTTTACAAACTTGACCAAAGCCCCCTAGGAGCTCCGAAAGGAGCGCCCTGCTCTAGTACATATAAAATGTTATGCACTTTGTGCAAAGAATGCATTGCTTTAACATTGAACGTGAACTTATATGACTTTATCATGTTTAATATATTATTTATTTTAAACATATAAGTTTCAAACTAAGTGCAGAATAGCATCTTTATTGTTGATTCCCTCTTCGATGTATTTCTGACCACATTAAATGTACGTGAAGGTCATTGAAGGATTCAAAATGGCAAATGTCGCATTTGTAAACTCTTCGTACACCAGAACGTAGTACTCGTACTTCTCACGTTTGTGTTGGATTTAATTTTCCACGTTTCTCCGTTTATCAGCCATTAATAATGCAGGTTTTACTTTCCAGAATCGTTTGATCGTAATTAGTGGCCAGAAATGTTCGTGCCTTTCCTGTTGGAAATAATTGTGATAGCCTCGTTTATAATTTGTAATGTCATTGTTTTCTGTATTTGTCATTGGCATCAGTATGTCACAGGTATTTGTATCAAAGACCCTGTCCGAGGAATTGTTGTAGGAAGCTATATATATATATATATATATACTGAAATCAATATAAAAATAACCGAAATTCGTTTTCAGTTCACAAAGTTTCTCCCTTCAATTGTATGTTCATAACATTTGAGACTTGTACAGCTAGACTAGTTGATAAAACAGGTCTCTTGAGGAGTCTAACTAGTTCTTTATCACGTGTTCATATCCATGTCAAAGCCTCATTACCAACACAGTCATATTTAGCCTCATTCATGCCGTCTGAGCCTGTTATTGCGTCTTCCTGTACATTATATCCGTCTTGTCTACAAGCGTTGGCCTATTATTCAGTTCATCGTCTTGTTACGATGGGTTTCACAGAGTTTTTGTGTCGTGTTAAGTGAAAGTTCTTGACGACCTTGTGTTTTAAAGGCATATAATTCTTTCTACAATGGAATAAAGCTTCTTTTGAAAATTTATTCTGTTGGCCCCTGAATGGAAGGTACTTCACTGTTCGAAACCCTTTTGTTTTCTTTGATTAAACTTGTCCGCCTTAAGAAAGTCGTTTTCAGACTAATGAATTACTGTTTCAGAGAGCAATGGAACTTTGTACAATTCACTTCCACTTTGATTTATATAATTTGCCCTAGTTGAAGACAATGATCCTTTGCGTCATTCTTATGCGGTATTTAAATTTGCTCTTCCACGAATACGATTAAGTGTAGCCTTACTCTTTATGTATCTATAAAGCTGTATAATTTTTTTATTCATGAGAATTTCGAGTTCTCATCTGTGTCAATATTAAGTGAAAAAATTAACCCTAGCCTAATCTTTTGTGGTGTATAGTATAAACTTGCTTTGTCTACTCGATGAAATTTCTTAACATAAGTTACATTGCGTGGAAGGACGTGAAAGGAAATGGTGACATCCAGGCACATGTTTAAGGAGGCCCATGAAAAAAGAGAATACGATCAACTTCGTGTTTTCTAAATCGGTTTAGTAGTTTCGGAGACGAAACATGCGGACGGGCAGCCAGTTTCCCTACTATGTGTTTATTTCATGCAGATAACGCATAAGAACCTTTGTTAGGAAAACCACCCAGGGACCTTTGGCGTCTAAATGAAACGCATAGCAGCCAAGGTTGTTCGTCAGGGACGAACGGAAATAGATCTGCAGGAAAGAGGCTGAGTGCAGCCTTAATTCAAGTTGTACGTATATGCAACCACTCTTTTATAAGCAGCGGAATTTGTGTTATTGACCTCGAAATTGTAGACTTCAAACACAACAGAATAACATTCCGCTCCAGTTGGTGCTGTTATGTCAGAAGATAGCGTAAGTGGATTGATTGATTTCGTGCTTTATGTGCATCATCCTTTCTCGTTGTTATTCAGGGTGTAACAGACCTGGAATTGCTCACCGTGCCGCCTTTAATCAAAGCGGGCATGCTCGTAACTGAAGTCAGCTGATTTCGATAAAAGCTGTCCACGTACTTGAAACTTACGAGCACTGCCTTCCGTTAAAAATTCTCACTGCGGAAGATGTCGATGTTGGTCTTCTGGGCTGTAACGCCGTGTGGACTTGTAGGTAGACGGTAAGAGAAACATCTGCCTCCATCACTAGAAGACTATATTGGTATCTGCCTGCAAGTCCGCACGACCAGGAGACCAACACGAGTACATTCAGTTTGGCTTACGTTAAGTACACAGAATTACAATGACGTGATGTATTTAAGCAGTGGACCTGTAGGTAGAATAAAATCCGAATCCTGACTCACGCTCCGTGTTCTGAGAATGCTGACGTTATTCTTACTCATCGTGATCGTGCCTATCTGCATTTTACCTTCAGAAGACTGTGAACTGTAAAGACTGCTTTCTCCTTCTGACGTGCCTGACTGTGAATAATTTCGCTTTCAATTATACGTGCTTGAGTCATAATGCTCTTGCGTATAAAGGTTACCTTCCCATAAACCTGCCATAATTTGCATAATTACCACTCTCCTTACACAGTGGAGCTATCCATTTCAACCCTTTAAGGCTCAGTGGTGACTGTATGTACCACCTGCTTTGACAATCAATAAATCTGCATTTTATACTTTTGGATTTCGTATGATGCTCACTGTAAACTGATTTATATATATATATATATATATCCTGAAACAACGTTAATCATTTGATCTTTGCAATGAGGAAGTGCTTTGTTTTGAGGTACGGAATAAATTCATAAATATTATGTGGATGAGTTTCGGCTTCACAGTGTTAAATCTAGGCCAGCATTAAGATGCGCATTTAAGCACATGAGAATGTTTTCGTTCGTCTTATATGCTTTACGTAAATCCCATATTTTAGTATTGCGAAGATGTGGGGTGGTGCAGTGCGAGTTTGAAAGTGGTGGGAAAGGTGAGGCGGTTGTTTATTTTGAAGCAAGATTTCTCTGTTTATAAAACCGAAAAGAGAAAAAATCACGACAACCGCAGTTCACAATTTTCGAAGCGAGTGAAATGAAACCGATCGTGAAGGACTTGCTTGGGTAAAACGGGTCTTGTAGAATTGTCATAACATTATTTATGCCTTTTTACATGACATTTGAACACAATGTCCACTAGTTAAAAATATGTAATTTTAAAATGCTATGAAATCAAGTTTGTAGGTAATTTATTCTTAGGGCCGTAATGATTTCTAGTTGCTTTGAGCAGATGTCTGTACAGACCTGAGAAAATGGTCGGTTGCTGAAGGTACACATTCCGGTTAGAAATTTGTAAGAGTGAGTTTAAAACTTATGTAAGCGGATCAGTCCTAAAATGTATGCATCG